AACCTTTGACACATTTTGGTCTTTTTTTTTTTTTAATCTCTTTGCATTCCACAGTCAAGAGTCACGTGCGTCACCGTGTGTATTCAGAAGTGAGAGTGAGAAAGGAAAGCACCCAGAGAAGGTCAATAAATACAAGGCAATGTCCTAAACACCTCTGTGGCAGAAGGCAGTGCTTTACCCTGAGTGAGTCAGGCGATCTGACTATGATGCACTGAGAGGACTAGACCAAAAGGACATCTAGCAGAACAATTTATGTACATTTAAACTAAACTATATATTTAACAAAAATATGTACAATTAAAGTTGTTTGCTGCATAATTAAAATACTGTATCTCACATACAGTATTTTATTTAGTTTAGTTTTCTGTTTTCAAGTTGCTGTGAAAGTTGTTGTCATTTCCGTTAATACACATATTGATCTTCTGTCTGCTGCAGTCATTTCTAAGAACTCACAGCAGCGTCAGTGGCCACCACAATCAGATATCGTTCTGGGTTTTTGTTTTTTTTTGCCTTGAAAGATCAATTGACCACACAGAAAGTAGTTACTCAGGAGGAGGGTGGAAGGTCCCTTCTCACTGTCATTTTTTATAAATAAACATGCCCCCGTGATGACTGGCATGTGACTTCCTGTGTCTGGCTGCAAGATTGAGCCTTTTGTAGTCACATGATGTATCAACAACATCACATGTATGCAGTATATGCATAGTGTTTATCACACTGTAGAAGCTCAAACTACATGTACAGTGTGAGCTTCTACAGTGTGATAAATGCATCATTAAATAGAATTAATACATAATTCACACAATAACACATAACGTATTTACATATCCCGGTGATTCTCTGCTGATTGTTATACAACTGAGCTCCATCCTCACTGGGAAAAAAAAATGGTGATAATATTTCTCAAGTTTAAAAAAAAAAAGAGTTGTCATGAGAGAGCGATCCTTGAGGACCGTCAGTCAGTCACTTTGAGCAGTTAACAGTTAACTCGTATGATACGATCACACTAAGTCACAGCCAGGCTCAGACAGAGACGTCTTGTCTCTTGGTGATGTCACAGATTAGTCATACATTTGGACATTTGGACTCTGCTATAACTATAATAGTTAATGTTAACTATATAGTTGTTAATATGGATTCATTCGTTATGCAGGCCTTACCTTTAGATTCAAAATGGTTATGACTTGGAGGATGCATAGATGGAGATGTTCACTGATTCTCAGTTTTCACTCATAATGTTGTTAAACACAAAAGCAAATCAATTTATTTGGTAGCGATTGACCTTTTGGTCTGAATTGGTTGATATATATTAACTGCATATGTGTGGTGACGCAACAATAAAAAGGAAACTGACACAAAGATTTGTATTTGTAACCAAAAACAGTACGGCTTGAAGGACAGGCATCTGTTTTTCATCCAAATGAAATGTTCCTTTCCCAAACGCCACATTCTGTAAAGAATAAACAATATTTCTACATCATCCCCGGTCAATCAACCTTTTTCCATCATTCACAAAATAGATTGCACACTAATTACAGCCTCCCCTCTGGGTGCATGGTTCATCTAATTTGCTGCAGAAACTGCCTCACGTTTACCTTTGGCTGCTCAGCATGTAGGCCTCCAGACTGCTGTCAGCAGCTGAGATGAGAGTAGGAATATAATAAAGCTGGATCTGTGCACAGGGCAAAGCATTTTGAAAATACTCATTTGACCTCTTTTGCTCATTCCTATCTGAATGAAAACTGAAATGTGTGCAACACAGTGAGATGATTTAGTTACCTCCATCCAGCTGCCTGTCTGAGTCCCCCTTTGCTCACCCTGACCCCTTCCCCCCTCCCTTTGTGACTCCTAACAGGCTGTTTGAGTCATGCTGGCTACTGGCCTGGCATCCACCTTCACAAGCCACAGCCCAGTTCAGTCTGGATCCAGTCTCATGAAGTGTACCCTGCTCATCTTGTGTTACTGCTGTCAGGAGCTGTTTTTAGTGTATATTTTTGGACTGTTTGGAGTATTACAGGGGTTACTTTTATCACCTGAAAAATACTTAACTGTTGTTTTTCATCAAGGATGTTATGCAATATTTACAGAGCTGCATTACTTTGTATTATAGCAAAATAAACCAAACTCGTGGAATTTATCTACCTAGTTGGTTTTAGTGTGTCAAACACTGAAAATAAGTTTAGCAGGCAGCTGCAAATTATAGAGAAAAACTTCAATGTAATGTTTAAATTGTAAAGTAATATGTGCTACTGCATTTAGACAATTTTTGAAATGTTTTATTATGTGAAAAATGAAAACAAAGCTTGAGGCTGTGTCCTTCACCATTTGCAACTAGAAACATTGTGAAAAATTCCTTATCGTGCTACACAACTGTTTTTTTTCTTCAAAAAAAGTTGTTTTGCTCTTATTCATCTATTCAAGTTATATTTTATAACGTCTGAAAATGGAAGTATATATATGGTATACAAAATTTGTGCAAAAAGCCATTATAGAACAACTACCACAAAAGGTTAATATAAACTGACATCAAAGAAAAGACACTTTGGCACACACCACGAAGGCAAATGTCCCCGGAGTGTAATCACACTGTTGGCATTACCCTCCAACCTGATCTGAGTGATCAGACTCATCCCATCAACTCTTTCATCATCGTGTTAAACCTTCTGCCACTGCTGGGAAGAGGGAGAGACAATCTGAAGGCCGGCGAAAAAGACCTGGTAACGGTGCTTCCACATGATAAAGGCACCGACGGCACACACCAGTGCTTGGGCCAGGTTCAGCACGATCTGGAGCAGGAAGTAGAGTGGGAGCGTCCCAGTGATCCACGCACAGTCGCTGGCGCCCTCGTAGGTGAAGGTGCGGGCTATTGGGTCATTTTGATCCAGTTTGCACACACAGTCCACTCCCACCTGCTCACAGCTGAAGCCACTGGTCTGTGAATAGTGGTGTCCAGCAAACGACATAGCCAGAATTGATATGACCAGGCCGATTGTACACATGACAAAGTACAGGATCTGTAGAGGGCAGAGGACAAGTCAGATGTCAAGCACTTTTACCTTGAAAGCTTTGATCAGAAAACATTTTTCTTGTCTTCAACTTGTGTTTCTTATACTACAAGTCTGGCTCCTGCTTTAGGCCGTTGTCTCATGATTAACCCAGTGCCAAAACTGTAGCTTAGAGACAGACATGCTGGCTCAGTGCCTATGGCAAGTTGAATTCAAAGAGATTACCCACAATGCTACAAGGCAAGGCCTGACCCTTAGAGTTGCAGCCCAGCTCTTAGCACAGAGGAGACATGGAGACACATGCAAGACATGCCCTACAGCTAAAGCTGCTTCCCACCTTTAGTGCACGACCTGCGAGTATGTTGAACAACAGAGAACCTCTAAAAATACTCTTGTAAAATGTGTTAGAGGCTTTATGTTGTTTATGCAATGGCCCAATCTCAATAACACTAAACCTTTATCTTAATCCTTCGCTTATATAACAGGAGCTATCATTCGCTGGTGTATTTTGCTCTTAGCAACATGCTGCTTATGGCATTATGCAACTGATGAGCGGTGCTCGATGGCATTTGGCAAATGGCATTTATGTTCATTTTGAAACATCTGTGAAATCTGGAGTATGGTTGGTTGCAGGGAAATGTATGTAAGGCAAAGCAAGGCAAGTGTATTTGTATAGCACATTTCAACAACAAGGCAATTCAAAGTGCTTCACATAAAACCATTAAAAACATCAAAACATAAGGCAAAAGAAAAGGAGATTTAAAAACAATTAAGGGCATTGATTGAAACATTAAGAACATTCATTAAAACACAAAAAAGCTAAAAAAATAGAATAAAAGTTGCAGTGCAGTTTAACAAATATAGAATACACTAGTAAAATGCAGAAATGCAGGAAATTGATTAAATAATATCCTTAAATCTGGTTCAATTAAAGGCAACAGCAAACATATATAGTAAACCCATTTGATCACTGAGCTTTTTGAATTAATGGCATTAATAAATTAAAGCGCATTTGTTTTTAGGACCAGAGAAAGAGACACTGCAGACAAATTGAAGCTGCTCTAGCATACATATTTCTAAAGAAGTATTTTATTGGGCTTTGTCTTTTGATAGAACAGTACGTATGGATTAGAAAGTAAGGAAAAGTGCAATGCAACAGATTGACTGTCATATTTCAACAAGAAAGAAATTTGCTTTGTATATTAAGTAATACATTAAGAAAATCCTTGTTATTTTGGTGAGTGAGACAGTCTGGTAATATTTAAAACTACAGAACACATACACAGTTGGAATTTTATTTCTATCATGCATTTCTGCAAAGACCGTTTTGTAAAATAGCTGCACTTCAAGGCAAAATACAATTGAAGTGTTTTGAAACTCCATCTTCACAGCGTATGCATGGAACCTGGTATGCACACGCGAGCCATACAGAAAGAAACGAACAATGGAGAACTGATTTTAAATGCCTTGAAATTCCAACTGCATGTGATCTGTCGTGCTACTAATTACAATCAAGTATGATTAATGAATGCATTCATTCATTCGTAGGAATCCCCACAGAACTCTTAACAAGAATGCAGTTAAATGCCTTTCTCTCGATGCCATTTGCAGTTGCAGCTCCTTAAGAGCAGTCCTCGAACAATTGCAGTAGCTTGGTGAGTAAAACATTACACCTCTGCAAAGGTCTCAACAATACACTGACCCATCTCATCATATCTTCACTGTAACTAAGATTTTATATACCATTTGTTCAATTGAAAGAAAATCATACTGTGACATACTGTGCACTAATAGGGGAACCTGATTTGACTCCACACATGACATGACGGATTGTCATTCACAAACTGATTTGTACACTTTCACTTCTGCAAACAATGTGTAAAATAAGGTGCGTGGGACCCACCTTGCCAATGAATTGCCCAGACGTTCTCTCGTCAGGGACGTAGGTGATACAGTACAGGATGAAGCCCAGGATGGAAACCAAACACAGCTGCAACAACACATCGGAAAACAGTTTGATTCGATTCACTCACTCATATCAGGACAATGAAATTATCAACATAATACTTGTTTCAACATCAACAAAAAGGCAATTACCCCAAGCACTTGCCCCTCGTTGCTATTATATATATCTACTCTATGTTGCACAGTATTTATGGTAGACACAGTATAGAAACAAGCATCTTGTTCTAGAAAGTATTTTCTGGCCAGGTTTTCAGGGGTGTCTCTTAATATTGCATGATTCAGCACTGAGCAGTCATCCGATTACTATCTCTCTCTCTCTCTCTCTCTCTCTCTCTCTCTCTCACACAGACACGCTCACGCTCTATCTCTTCAGTGAAATTGGAGTCTTGTGACTGGCGTGCAGCATCTTATTTAGATGTTTTTCTCAGGTTTTTAAGCACTCAGGATTCTCTGGAAAGTTCTTGATGACCTCAGTGTTTTCCACTTGGCTGAATCTCGTGAGGATCTATCTCGGGATGTTGGTGTCCAGGGATGTTTTTTTGAGAGCAGATAGCGTCTGTGATAAGCTAGGATAGGATCCAAACAGGACCAACACGTTTTGTTCTATAACCAAAATGTGACCTTAGATGGTCTTCCAAATTATGATGATAGGTAAAATGTACGCTCTTCTTGTTTTATATTAAACATTTCACAGAGACAGTTAATCATTGTTCACTTAAAAATATATAAAAACAATTAAAACAGCAAAGAACCATTTAACACTATCATTAACTTACTTGAACTGACACTAGTTGCTTTTAGCATGTTACATGTCATCTACCAACACACTTCATCTTTCTAGCATTTCCATCTACATTTCAATCACTTTCATCGTTTATAGGTTACAGGTATCCAAACATTCATCTCTCCAAATGAAAATGAAACTTCTTCTGTCCTCATTTCTTATTTTTCGCTTCAACTGCTTTCAGTGCTTACATGTCCACTAACATTTCAGTTACTTTGAGCTTACCTCTTCTCTAACACTTCAGCTGACAGTTCAGCTGATTTCACTCTTACTCCTCAATAATTCATTTAATGGGACTTCAACCCAAAATCAAAAATTCATATTTTTCCTCTTACCTGTAGTTCTATTTATCAATCAAAGTAATACTACAAATTCAAGGGCTGTCAGTGGGCCGTAGGTTTAATCACCATTGTGTAACCTCATTCAGTGATAGATAATGACTTAACAGACAGCTATTTAACCTCTTATGCCCTAGTCCTCAGAAAAATTAATAAAAATAACATGAATCAGGAATACCTCTTTAACCATAAGGCTGCATATGGCTGGTCTCCTTTTTAAGGTATTAAGCTCAGGAATATATATATATAATCCATTGTAAGTAAACTTATTTATATTACCATTCCAGAGCAAAAAGAGATGCAATAAAGGAAAAAGTAACATTTTTTATCCTCGCCTAGTATAGGCTTTAATAAAATTCCAAAGGCAAAGGCCTATCATCATTAAAACCAAAATCCAGAGGATAATGATGCTCTGAATGATCTGAATGGCTTCTCCTACTTAGTGCTACAACTGTGACTGTAAATACAACCGTTATAATATAATTTATGTAGATATACTGAGGCTGTCTCCGTGTTTTGGCCATGTTTACTGGTTACACGTGTCCACAAACATAACTATTACCAGTGCAAGTCGGTCAAACTTGACTAAAATGGCTGCTGACTCCACCCTAAGGCTGAGGCTGACTGCGACTTCCTGGCAGCCCAGGTTGTACTGTTGAACTGGAAGTAACTGAAATCTGCTGTTTTTGGCGAAAATAACATATGCCTTGGTGAGATATTTTGGCAAGAACATACAATTATGTCAGTATGACTGTACAATGTGAAGTTTGACATCTCTTACTAACTGGGCCAAACTCACATGCACAACCAGACCTGTACTGGTGTCTGTCATTGTATGTTGGTACAGCTGCACTGTTGTATATCTCGTCTGATGTGCACATTGCTGTGGATAGAAATGTACCCATGGGGACAACAAAGTCTAAAGACTTCATTTCCCTCGTTAATAGCGTCAAGATGCGTTTAGGCTCGGAATTTCCAATTTCCAGCGACATCAAACATTTTACTGTAGACTGACAATTTGTGTCTAATATTGTTCTTCGATATGTCGAAGGAGTTAAATTAGCATCTTTTAAATCATTGTTTTAAATGTATCAACTTAAACTGCAACTTCCATACAATATTCACATGCAAAGAGTTTACATTTTGAGGTGATGAGGTGTGAGAAAGTACAGAATGAACATCACATTTCACAATATGACATGCAGGGATTTACTGGTTTGTCTCATCAGGCCAGATGTTCAGCATTTGTTGGACATAAAAGAAAAACAACAGAAGGTGCAAGCAGGCAATTGTGACTGAGACGGATTGTAGATTGAGCTGTATCCATCCAGGTGAATGTGACAGATGGAAACTTATTAGAACATGACAATACCAGTGATTTCCCATGCCTACAATGACTGTCTGGCTGCAAGTGGTAAGGGCCAGTGTTGACATGCAGTGTGGTGGAGATTGGACAACACATTGAGGAATATGGAGGCTCATGCAGAAGTATCAGGGTCCATGCAAACATGTGAATGTAGTGGCTGATGTTAGAGCGTAAGGATGGAGCTTACAATGATTCCAGCCCAGTGTGGCGTCTCCCTGGTCAGGAGTGAGGGGCTGATGGCCAACATAAGGAAGGCCACAACCGTGACGGCCACCCCCAACAGCAGCTGGAGCAGGGCGATGAGCAGAGGGAAGCGACAGACTCTGCATTTGTGTCCGTCCTCTGGCGCTGGGCTTTCATCTCTCTTCTTCTTGCCCTCCTTCTTGTCTGAGGAACCTTTCTGCCCCTGCCCCATTTCTCCACTTTACTTTACACTCTTTTCCCTTACTGTACTCTCGACTTTTGCTGTTGCAGTGTTTTGGGGTGGATGAGCCTGCCTGCTGTCTCTCTCTCTCTCCTACCCTTCCCCTCCCTGCCAAGGCCTCCTCTCACCATAGCCCAGCCTAGCTGCTATTTGGAAACAGAGAAGGCTCTGAACTAATATGGAAAACATTTGGACTGGATTTCAGTGCCACATATAGAGCAGGCAGCATACTGTGGAGGAAAGGAAGAGGAGGGAAGGGGGGCGGGAAGTCACAAAGGGGGATTCCAACATACGACTGTGAGAGGATTTCACTTGTACTTACATTAAAGGCAAGAAAGGGAGAATACAGAGGCAAATCAGCAGGTATGAGTTAATGAAAAGCCAGCGCAGAGGAGGTCACACTTCATTTGAGAGCCGAAGTGATTGGATCATTCTTTGTCAGCAGTGTTACACAAGAGAGCCATATGCTGCCAGCCAGAAAGAGTCACGTGACTTACAGGAAGAAGTAATGTAATCAAAAGGCATGTGAGGGCATTAGGGGGGCTCAGATTTGAGTGTTTTTGAGCACTTAAATATTCTCAAGAGAGGAACAGGTGTCACTGACAATGAGATTACCTTCCTGGAGTCATTTATTCAACTTTTATAATTTGTAAAAAGGCATTTGTGATGGAAGGTTCTGAACCTTGCTTACTTTTATCACTAGTGAATATAGCAATAACAACACAAATTGAGTGACTTTGAATTATATTTGAGATATTTGAGGATTCTTTCAAAATGTAGATCAGACAAATCAAAAAGTCAAAGTCACAAAACCTCATTTAGAAATTATCACCCTGATCTTTGTCAAATTATTATTAATATTTTATTATCATACAAAGACACTCAGATGAAGGTGGGAGAGCAGCACCCATGCTGAGATTAATAAAGAGCCTCGACGCACGTGTTTGAGCACACAGTTGGGTCGGTGCCATGGTTACTGACAACGCAGCTTTGAACGTCTGGAGATGTATGAATAGGTTACCTTGCCCTGCTCCGGGCAACGACATGGAGTGACGGACGCGCACGGGGTGCGCACGCGCACATTTCGAGTATTTGTTTACGCTCTCACTGTATTTACTTCAAATTAACCTCTATGTTTTGAGTGTATTATCATGCATTGTATTCTGTTATGGTGAGATCAGGAATTCCCCTGTTGAAGTGTTGTTTTTAGAATTAACAACAGGAGAAAAATACAATGTTTTTTGTTTTTAAATGACGGAGAAGCATTTGGGACCTCTAAAGTGTGAATGTGTGCTAAATAGTTTTAGGATTTCTGTCTAATTGTCGATCACATTGGACTTTACAGCCTATTCAGTCACTTAAACGCCTGTACTCTCAGTAAGACAAGCTCGACGTGCGAGGTTTAAGACCCAAATTATATATATATATCAACACTACCGTTAGTGAACTGATGATTATATGGCTTTGTTTGTCCCTCCTCGCTCATGTGCGCTATTTCCCCTTCTACATTTTGCACATGAATCACGTTTTAGCACCCAGGCCAAAAGTATTAAGACTACATCGCTAAACGAAAAGCAGCGATAGCTGCTATAACACAGAGGGGGTCTAATTACCGGACTTTGTGCTGGTGCAGGCTACACGTGAGTCGGAAGCTGTTCCCTACCGGAGGCGCGCGTGCGCTCTAACCACAGCACCGACGGCTTTGCAAAGTGGCAGCTCAGGGAACTATAGACATCAGTCTAACGTGCAGCTCCACTGGAAGACACGCACTGTGCATCATCTCCCTCAGCCGTCCGTGTGTGGGTCGTGGAAATAACAACCATTCCCCAAAGAAGCTCAGGAGCAGCAGAGAAGTGATGGATGAAAGAATACCGCATTTACAGGACAGACAGTTTATGGAGCACGCAGAATTCTTGGGGTGAGTGTCGCTTTTGGCAAACTCTGTCAAACTCTGTCCGATAAACTGTTATGACAACCTGGTGAATAATCGGACACTTTTCGCTTTACTTTAGGGTGGATTACCCCTCTCTCTACATGTGCAAATCCAAAAGAGGAATAAAACGAGAGGATGGTGGGAAGGTGCGTGTGATTTATTATACTAAGGCAACAATTAACTAACATTTTTGTGTGCATGAAACTCATAAGAATATGCAAATACCTGTTTTTGCTAGCAGGACGCATACAAGTTACCACACCGGTTAATAGAGAAGAAGAGGAGAGACAGAATCAACGAATGTATTGGCCAGCTAAAGGATTTGTTACCCGAACATCTGAAGCTGTCGGTGAGTTCATGGCACTACAAAACGTGTTACGCGCTTACCGAACCTGGTTTTACAAGATATGACAAGTCGTAAACCAACTGAACCTTTGTTTTTCTCCACAGACGCTCGGGCATTTGGAGAAAGCGGTTGTCCTGGAGTTAACGTTGAAACATTTAAACGCACTGACTGCTGTCACTGAGCAGCAACACGAGAAGATCATTGCTTTGCAGAATGGTAAGCTGAACAAACCCGAAGTTATAGAAACGTTTACACGAAACTTTTTGTAGTCCTTAATAGAGAAAGTCTGTTTTTACAGCAGCAGAACATGGACGTGCATGGAACAAAGGCGTAGAGGATAATGCGCATTTTGAGAATACCACAACAGCATTTTAAAACGTGCCATCGACACGCGCCCATTTTATCTGGTCATTGGCTTGTGATGTGCTACAATTTACAATATAATGATCTTTAAACTGCATGTTTCGCAGGGGACCGGTCTATGAAATCTTCCATACATGCAGATCTGGATGCGTTCCACTCCGGGTTCCAGGCCTGTGCCAAAGAGGTCCTGCATTACCTGAGTCAGTTTGAGAACTGGACGGCACGAGAGCAGAGGTGCGCGCAGCTCATCAACCACCTTCACAAGGTGCTGGCGCAGTTCCAGTCCGGCGCGCTGCCGCTCCAGCACCAGCTACCCGCCGGGGACGCACAGGATGGGCACAAAGCCGACAGCCAAGCTAATTGTGTCCCGGTCATCCAGAGGACCCAAGGCGGGGAGCTCAACGAGAATGACACAGACACGGACAGCGGATACGGGGGCGAAGCTGAAAAGAGCGATGGCAAAGATAAAGAATGTGAGCGCAATAAGGCGCAGGGACCCAAGGCAGTGAAGATCAAGCAAGAGTTTGGAGATGATCGCGCTGCCAAAAAACCAAAGATGAACTGGCCTGGGAACGGGTTAGGGGGCACAGACCCCACTAGGCCCGATCTGGCGTTTATGAACTCTCTGATGGGAATAAGCGGTGTGGGACAGCAGACACCCATTTGCATGCCTTTCTACTTCATCAACCCCTCGGCCGCGGCGAGTTATATGCCTTTTTTCGACAAAAGCAACATTGAAAAGTACATGTACCCAGCGGCGGCCGCCCTGGCATCCCCGTTCCCCTGGCTGTACCCTGCACACGCGTCAGCAGCGGCGGCCGCGGCTGCTGCTGCCGCTTTCCCCGGCTTGTCTGTGCAAGTTGGAGCCTCTTCTCAGTCCAAGGACTTCCATAGTCCAGACAGCGACGAGTCACACGAGGCTGAGTTAGGTTCGCCGGAGGAGCGCGAGGATAGTCCCGCGAGTGACTACGGGGAGGATGACGTAGCCGAAACGTCCCAAGAGAGCAAGGACAGTCCTCATGATCAGTTTTCTGCTTGTCAAACGGGCTAATTTCGTTGTCTGTGTTACCTTTCCGTGCATTCTGCTGAGGACTTAATGTATTTCCTTTTTTAAAAGTTAGGCTGGTTATAAAACGAGGTTTCACAGAAGAGGTTCTCTTGTACAATATATTGGCGAAACAGGGGACAGTTGTGACTGAGTGTGCCTTTTGCACTTATGCTAGATTAGTCAAACTAAAATATTATCGACAATGATTGAAATTAATACACGGCTGTGTTGTGCTGGAGTTAGTTTTTTATCCTCTTTGATAAAATATTTTGAAGTGGCAGCATTGGTGCCAACACTTTGAGTACTACAACAGTGCGCAATATCCCAATCAGCGTGTCTCTTTGGATGTATGAAGTTGCAACTGACCCTCTGCCAAGGTTATTTAAGAGCTTTGCTGACTCTGACTGTAAATATTATTACCTGGAAGACTGATTCATTAACATGTAAATGGGCTATAAAAGAAGCACCCCCGGAAGTGGAACGCCCACAGTAGGCCTACCTCATTCCCAACTTTGCATGGGGTTGGCTGATTGGGAGGCATATGACTCTCCCTCCTAAAGATGAAAAAAGATTGGTATTTCCATCATTAACAATACATACAAAGAACAGCTACTTTAACATAATTAAGACGATAAATGGTGAATTATGAAAGGTATTATCCCTGGTTGCCCTCAACTCATTTTACACATTTACAGAGTTTACTCTGGTTTCATTTACTTGTTTATTGTTGTGAGGAAAGAAAAAAAAAAAACAGCAATCCCAGAAATCATTCAGAATAATTGAAAGAAGAAACCCTTCATTTACAAGGGGCTGCTTGACCTGATATTGTACGCCCTGAATGAGGCATTTCAGCACCGAGATGCGGTGACCTCCTGTACCTCCAAGAAACATTGTAGGATAGCACCTTATAGATCTTTGATATTGAATGTACCTGTATTTTCCCAGCTGTTAAAGTTTGTATGTAGGATGATCTTTACTCTTTGAGACGTAAAGTGCACTTTTTCTGCTCTTACTCTCCCAAACAGTCACCTCATAACTTTGAGAGTCAATCACTGTAGTTCTCTTAGAACCTTTTTATTGTGTTGAGTTGTCTTGAAATAATAAAAAAAAGATTTCATTTAAAAAGAAAAAAAAGAGAGCGTTACAACAGGCTTTGTGATGATTTCATGCAGTAAAGTGGTCATTAAGTCATTTGCCAGATTTGACAAAACATTGCTTATTTCTGTCTCTTTCAAAGCAAAATGATTCAAATCATAATCAGATTTGAAAAACCCTGCACCCCATGACACACCGGACTATCCAAGATTCTGTGTTATACACTATCATTATTTAAAATCTTGCTTTTCAAACATTTTACAAAGGTGGGAAAGAAGCTGTGGTCATGTGACCATCACTTATGATCATTGAAGTTTTAGGAACTTTTAACTTTATCTTGGCCTGTTTTCTATGAGATTAATTCCTGAAAGTATAGTGATATTCAGCTTTTTTAAGTTTCACATGTCACCGAATAAACAGACGATTTTCATTGTATTTTGCATACATGACATTGCTTTTGTAGTTTACTTCAGCTGGTTTTGCCTCAAATCTGTTATCAACTGTTATATAAAGTGGCATGTGTGTCTGTAAATATTCTTTTGTGAATATACCACAAAGTATACATGTCTATGTCAATGTTGTAGAAGTCTATGGATTTTTTAAAAGATTTACCTGAGCAACTGTTGCACATTTCGTTAATGCTTTACACATATGCTGTTATAAATTATTGCTGATGAGTTGTAAAATAAATATCAAAACTAAACTCTGCAGGCTTCTTCTTGTTTATCACTTATTATGTTTGTGCCCATAGTCCCACAGGTTAGCACATGCAGGACAAGTTCAGTGAGTATGTTTGACACTGTTTAATTAATACCTATATGTAATATTTGGGTCCTGGGAAACAATACATACTGTAAGACACCAAGTAATGTATGCACAAGACAAAAATGTCACACTTTTATGAATTAACAATACTGAAAGTTCAGTACATGAAATGTATTGTTACTAAGCCTCTAATCAGCTGACAGGTCACAGCCGAGGAATGTACAGTGTACAGTAAGCCAAGGCTTTAAAAACATGTCATGTGATGATGAAGTGAGATTACACTCAGTCTGTACAGGCTGAAGAAAAACAAGGGGCCTCCTCCCAACTTGTCAAGAGGCCTTAAGCAGGATCAGGTCCAGTCTTTTTTGTTCCCATTAACCAACTTACAGCAATATTATTTTAATCTTTATGCATAATTTGAACAGCTTTAAAACTTAAGTGTCTGACTCTGTGCCTTCTAGTGATCCTGGCAACAATGAAGTCCAATTACTGCCAACTAATGCATTTCAAGGTTTAGAAAGACAAGCATGATGCCACAAGCCCCCCTCCCCATTTCCTTTTAAGGTTTACTTTTTCTTTCTGTTTATGAATTATATTAAGGTTCTGTCAGTATCTTCACTAACCAGTGAGTGCAACTTTGAAAGTTTAGGCAAAAGCATCTATGCCTTTTTTTAACCAGACACCATCCTCTACTAAACCTCCCGTGAAGCCAAGTAGCATTGTTTAATTGTATTAATATACATTTTATACACTGACAACATTTCTTTATCATTTCAGGGCTCCTCTCCTAATTCTCTGCCAGCCATGTTGTGCTCATGTCTCTAACAATACTGAGTAAACGTCTCCATCTACTGGCGAAAAGCTTGAAAAACATGTAGAGCAGTGCAAGTTCCTCCTCATTTGCATCCACTGGCAAACAGTTACCACGAGCGGCAGTCGTGACACATTTCATTTTGTCAGAGGGTTTATTGAATCATGCAATTCATGTCATATCAGCAGCCAGTTACAGCCATACATCTGTCAACGCTTTGCAGTATATTAAGGCAGGGTCAAATAAAAACACGTTATGTACAGTCGACATCTTAAGAGTTTTCTAGAACATACATGGTTGTAAACAGTGACCACAGCTACGTCTCATCCCCGGGTGGAAAAAGCACACAAGTGGTTTCTTAAAGGGAAAATCCGCTCCAATATATAGACTATCATAGATTAAGAATGTTACCTCCGTTAACTGACAAAGAGAGAGACAAACTGTAGTGATGATGTATTGTGTTGTGTTTTTGTAGATGCTGAATGTTGCAGGGTGGACTTCTCTTCTGTATCACATCAACGCTTTCATTCCTGGGTGAGGGTGCTGATATAAACCGGTGAATAAAGTATACAGTGTGTGTTGCATGATGGAATAAATCAGATTAAATGTGAATGCATTTTACAGCATATAGTATTATGGTGACAATAATACAGTAGCAGAGTGGAAAGCACTCTCAATATTGTTCTTTCCATTGACATTTCTACAAAATACTGACAGATAAAACACAACGTTGTTTCCTCTTTGATGCTGTGCCATTTCTCTCTGTGCAGCAATGTGCCACTAATACATCTAGCAACAGCTGACCTAAACTGACTAGGATCATTGCTTCAATATGTCTACTAAAGCTTTACTGTACATTATTTGAATACAACTGTGGAATGAATATAAGGCACTTTGATGTGATTAGCAGCTGAGCTACGACCTAAGAGGGGCTTGATACCGTGGCTATTCTGACCCTGCACACACACACACACACACACACGTCTCTTTAATCACGGACTCACTCTCATGCTCAAACACACTGTAGCTATCCATTGTATTATTACATGCCACCAGATTCAACTATCTGATTTACTGTTCTGTGGGTGCTTTGCACATCCAGATATGGCTATATTAACAACACAATCATGCAACAAGACCTGCTAATCTTTGGCCATCAGTCCTTACAGAAAAAAACAAGCATAATACATTTGGCAAAAATATACTGTGTAGTAATCTTAACAACAAAAAGCTTAAGAGGGTCATTTACACCGTTTCATTATGCAGGTATCACTGCACCAATGAGGGCACTGCATTTTTGTAACTGTGAATGCACCGCTTTGTAATAAAATATAGTAATTCACTAAATAAAGCTGAAAAGTAAGAAAACATTTACAGTAAGCAATCATTTTGGTACATACACACAGTAACATTCGTCAGTAACAAAACGATTAACCTTTTGTGCATAGTTGTAACATGAACAGAGTCAGAGCAACAGGAATACATTCTGATATGCAAAACAATAGAATCTAGACAGGTTTACTATAGTGGATCCTTCATTACTTATATAAGAACCAGACGTTATGCTGGGTAAAACATACTCACTACAGAAATTACATATGAATTTAGAGATATATTTATTAAATTCACATACCAAGATTCTCAAGAATAATATTCAAAAGGCAATAGTTTTGAATCATGATGCTAGTGAGAAAAGAATACAAATCATTCAGCAGTTACTAAAGTACATTAAGTGGATATGTTTATAAAGGAAGTCCACAACAGCCTGATGTTGAGAATGTCCTAATATCTCCAGGGACTGGACTTGGTGCTGCTGCTGTGTGTTTTTTTCCATCGTTCCTTCCAACCATCTTTCATTCCCACCCAACTGCTCCACGACTTCCAGTTCAAGTTCAACATTGTTCCTTCACTTTTTGAGTCTTCACACCCGAGGTTGCCTTCAGGTAATTGAGACAACAGTGCGTAGTAGTGTGCTACTGAGGTATCCTGTACAAAGATATCCACTTACAAATGTGTTCCGAGGTGAAAGGACCTCTGGAAAGGAGACATGACGTGTTCCCTCGTAGCAGAGCTGTCTCACACGTAGATCCCCTCTGGATTCAGGCCGGAAGTGAGAGGGCTGTGGAGGATCCGGAGGTGACTGGACATATGGTGCGACGACACCGGACGCTTCAGGGAGCCAGTAAGGGGAACTAAATCTGAGAAATAAGAAATCATATGAAAGAGAGAAAATTCAAAATTTAACTTATTTAGTCTATTTCAAAGGTTTGGTGCAGAAAATATATAGTCAGATTAAAAACAACAACAACAAAACCCTGTGGATGCTCTACGCGATAGCTCTGCTGTGGTGCCACCAGGGGGCAGTGCCGAGCCATGCAGAGAATCATCAGATGCAGTGAATTTAATGGCCAGGTACAAAAGGCACTGGCTGATTTCACACACACATGAATTGGAAGGTTACTGGAAGGACATGAATACTCAATTCATTATGTTTCACAATTGAAATCCATCACTGTTAACTTTAATAACGAGACCCACTGCTCTAAATGATGCAATGATGAAGTATATGTCATGCAATCAGAAAAATAAAATAAAAATGGGCTACATGCGTTTTTAAGGCATTGGGCATGTGGAATACAACATTATTCATAGGGATGGTGGGAGGTTGTAGTCTTATTTTTTTAAGTTTGTACATTTAATGTCTGTAGATAAACTTTGTTTTGCAAGTTGGATGTGCAGCTCTTTTTGTTTCAAGCCTAATATTCCAGGCTGATGGTTGTGTCCCCGGTAACGACACATAATGCACCGCTCTAGCCTGACCTCTAACTTGCTCCTGGAAGTCAATCTTAATTACTATTACTCACTAATTATGTTATTGGTACGATATTACTGTGAAGTTTTCAATAACCAGCTGGCCGATCGTCTCTATTTTAATGTGAGTGCTCTCCCATTATTCAGTGCTCTTAGTTTATGTAGGTTGACAGAGCTTTGGTCCAAAGAGCCCATCACGGACACTGCTGAGCATGTGACAGAGTGACAGCGGGATAGAAGGATTGAGGGTTAGACAGAGAAAGTAGGGTGAATGAATGATGCCAGGTCTGCCCGTATCCAGGCAGCTGTTGGCATGGAGACTATAATTGCCACTGGAGTAGGTAAAAGCTAAAACTGTTCTCTCCGCTACCCCCTCCCGATTTTCTCTGTCACAATCTCTCCCACATTCACACACTCACACTTGGACACTAAAGCTTAGTCATTTTCTCTCAGCAGGCTGTCAAGACACGGGGTAGAACAATAATAAGTGCACTTCAACAAAAAATAAGTCATGTCTTGCCTGCCTGAAAGGCAACCAAAAGGCAGCATTTATCCTCAGACAGCATGCACTTTAGCATTCAAATAAGTTGTAATACTCGTCTTGGTTCAGACTAGTTCAGATCAGTTAAGGTTATACACCCTAACAGACGCGTACACAGACTACTGTGGACGTCACTGTCTGAACAGCTCCGCGTGGTGACAGCACAGTACCGGTACGCGGATGTCCGCACAGAGCCTACGCTACACCCTCTGATGACAATTTTACGTCCTGCGGCCCCGAGTGGACCCTCGCATAAACATGGACGAACAAAGTACGAATTTGACCTTAGGCTTATCTGACCCCAATGTCACCGACTACACACTGTACCTACAAGGTCAGTTTCCTACTCCATTTAAGTCAACAGCAAGAGATGCCGAGGAATACATTACACGATATGTACTGTACTATATTTAAAGCATGTCCTGTGGCATGAGTTAAATCTTTAACTCCAATATTCCTCAAGAGAACAAAAATACAACCATTCAAGGTTTATAAGAAAGAGACATTACCTATAACATGACTGCTGTGAGTACTTTCATCCTCACTGGGTTCGGCAGGCAGCACTGTGACCTTGGTGCCGGTCTGCTTAATGAACTGCTGCAGGTTAACCTGCCTTAGCTCCTTGGTCAGCTGTTCCAGCTCGTGCTGCATATCCTTCAGAGAAACAGCATGAGAAGAGGGAAACGCGTGAGTGTTACCAATTGCTTCCAACTGGCATCTACTGGTACAGATTAGACGTATGAGCGTGCGTTATAGTATATGGATGTCCAGACGCCAGCAATATTACTTTAAATCTCCAAGTCCAGAAATAATAATATTAATAATAATAATAATAACTTTATTTATATAGCACCTTTAAAAACTGAATTTACAAAGTGCTTTGAGAGACAAAGCAAGGCAATAAAGCAACAAAAAGATCAACAGTGAGGCCCAACAAAGCAAGACAAACTAAAGTAAAATGTAAACCCTGATAAAACAGTATAATAGATGAAACAATAAAACGTTACCATAAGAACAAACTTTGTCAACCTCAGTTAAATGGACATCAAAGTGACATTGCTCGAGACAATTTATAATATTTCAGACAGCTCTCTCTGTAGCCATAGATGGCTTTATATAAATTTTATCACAGTTCTCCCCAAGACCGGTAAACAGACTTTGAAGTGTAAAAAATACTGGCAGGGATTCAGCATCACTGCGAGGGACGATTCAGGTAGACAGAGGATTAAATGCATTGTTACTGATGGATGGTCTCCATCACCCTGCAGCACTATTTAGTTTATTTGAAAAACAAGTACCTGAATGAGTGAGTGCATATGTCTTACCTGCAGTTTCTTGGTGCCTTGTCCAAGTGACCTGTCCACTGCTCTGCAGCTGCTCTCCAGCTGGACAGCTTGTCTCTCCTGGGCTTTCAGTTCGGTCTTGGCCCTGAGCACCTGGGACCGAGCCTCTGCCTCACTGACCCACTGGGTCTCCTGCCGTTGCTTCTGCAGCCGCTCCTCTTCCAGGCCGGCCTCCACACTCTGATGGGGCAGAGTGACACAGATATGGAAAAAGAGGCAAGACACCAACTATAATGTATAAACATCACTAGAAGGACTGTTGAAATAGAACCAAATTCTTATTCTTTGATTCGTAGCTATAATTTGATCATTCCCCACAAGTTGCTACTAAAATACAGGATGTTTTGTTCAATATCTCCCACACATAGCACACCTGTACCATTGACAGCTTTTCTTCAATCTCCATTTCACAGCCCTGCATGCGTCCTCTTAGCTCCTGCAGTCTTTCCTCCAGCTGTCTCTCACTCTCTAGCTCAATCTGCAGCTCAGTGGCCCAAAACTCCTCCTCCTCCATCTCCACGTCATTCTTCCTCAGATGCTTCTCCAACCTCAGGATCTCCTCTATCAGCCCTCCTCCTCCACCTGGGTCACCAATAAACCCTCCACCTCGCTCCCCTCGCCCTTCAGCCCAGGCCTGGAGCTCAGCCTCATAGGCCTCCAGCTTCTTCTCCAGCACATTGAGAGTCTCTCTCTGTAGACCGACCAGTCGGACCAGGTCTTCCATGCGACAGGCCCACAGGCCAGGCGATGCAGTCCCGATGGCAGGTCTTGCATGGTGGTGATTCCCACCATTGCCCAGGAGGAGTCTTCGCTTCGCCTCGGCCTCGCTGATTCGGCCTCCGCTCAATATCTCCCGAAGGCCTCTCGGTGCACCGCTGAACGTCAGAGACTTACGACGCGGTTCACGGCGGCGGAGGGAGCGATCATTGGGATGTCGAAGCTTTGCAAGGGGAGGCAGGCTCTGCCGGTGCAGCCCACGTTCAGGCCCTCTGAGAGGGGGTCCTTCTGAGGGAGGTCGTTCAGTCAAGGAGGGGCCTGTTCGATGCAGGATCAGCTGGACATCCCCAGCATACTGGCCCCAGGTGTTCAGAGAAGCCACAGGGCTCTCATGAGGGGCTAGGTGACGCTCCGTGTCACGCCATTTTTCTACCAGAGTGTATCTCCCAGTGCGACCTGTAAAAAACAAATTGTAACAAATTCTTATACTGGTTATGAGATGGTTATGCCAAATTGCAAGGATTAAGACTTTTGTCTAAAGCTTCTGAATGCTAATTTGAGACTAAAGTGGTAAAGGATTGCAAAACGAACTTACTGAAATGCAACCATGATGTACTGGCATCTTACCTAGCTGTTACGATAACATTTTAGCAAAGATTCCTTACACATTGAAGAGACACAGAGCAACATTGTCATCCTGTTGGATCTGGCACACCTAACATTTGAAACATTCAAATTTCGTCCAGCTTGTCTGAGTGTGGTTTCTGACAACAGCTCACAGTGACGTTATAAGTCAGATGAGAGCCTTAAGTCTCAACCATGCTGTAATGCGAGCTGGAAAACAGAACAATCAGCTAAAGGAGGCTAAAAGCTGCAGTGTTGGGTGTTTCTCAGTGGCTTCAGCACTACGAGCAACCTTTACACATTACATAACATTCAATGTTTATCATGAATAAACTGCCTAAAGCTGTTTGGAGGAAACCTAGACACAACACGTAGCGTGTATACAGAAACACCAAAGTTCTAAATCAATATTGATGTCGGATCACTTAAAATGGTTTATACATCATTAATATAAAAAATGCAGTGGAGGGGGCTTAGAAGTGCTGCTTTCTCAGTTTGGCAGGAGACCGGGGGATGAGTCAGACTTTCCCTCCTCCTACCCTACTCTTTGTGGGAAGTGATGTCAATACAGTCTGCTGAAGTGCCTCCGTTCCTGGAGGAGCCATATGGGAAAGGGGGGGGTGCTTCATTCCAAGAAAGTATACCAATAAAGCCTCTGACTACGACCCACCAGCAGGAAGTCTACGTGTAGGCCAGATACTCAAATACTACTACTTCATAAGTTTACCAGAATACCATGAAAGTCAATTTCATGTTAACTAACTAACTAATGACGCATTACAGGGGTGAGAGACATTTTTAGATCAGCACTTAGTGATCTTGTACGACCATAGCGAACATGGAAGTATACAGTCAGATCAAACTGCTGGTAAGGCAACACACAGAGGGTAGTGTTAGCACACAGGAGCTATGCTCTGGTTTAAAGTACGCCAAACAGCCTGGATTGTCTTTTCTAACAAAATCCAACTCCAATTCCAACCAACTCCGAGAGTGCAATTTGGAGAAGCAGTTCAAAAGAACTAGAAATCACTAAGTGACAAAAAAGGCTTTGGATCAGGAATTCAGCAAGGCAGATGTGGAAGTTGTCATTTAATGTTCCTGGCAAAACCAACACCAGAACGTCATCCAATGTCAGCAGTGTGACTTAATGAACCAGAAGTATACAATCCTTGGGTGTACACAACGCTAATTGCCAAACATAAATACTGCTTATTGTTGCTAGCTAGCTACCAATGTTTTAAAACACTGCAGTTCTAAACATCTTGATGCTAATGAATTCATATATGTGAGCACAAAATATGACGATGGCTAAGACTAACCCAAAGATCTATTAGGTGCTTGTGTGTAGCAGTCAATCTAGTAACTGATGCATTGCATTGGATCTCCTGGGTATGAGTTTAATGGACCGAGCCCCATTCATAATAGCAGAATCCAGTTTCACTTGTCAAATATACAACTCAGCAGAAAGTTTTAACAGGTCTGTTTGTATCTCAGGTGTGCTTATGTGTGGTTTTACAATAGAAATGTATCCACCTATGGCCTGTGCCAGAGCAATCACCACTTCTTGGCAGGTGGTTGTCTCAGTGACCCCACAGACGACCCTCTGGACTCCATCCACCCAGACCTTGAGCTCCATGTTGGGTCAGAAGCGATGGGGCCGGTTGTGGTGTGTTTGCCCCGACATTATTGAAGGCTCCAGTGGTGCAGGGCAGCTGAAGCCCCTCTGGCTACTTTAGTGGGGAGGAAACACAGGGGAAAACAGGAAGCGGTTAGTCAGGATGTGCTCAAGGCCACAGTTACAGTCTTCAGTCGCCAAAAAGGATACAGTCTTGACAGACACACAGAAATGCAGACAGTTCCACTTGCGGTTTTGCTTCTACACAAGTCGTCAAATAAGCAGAAAACATAAGGTATAGACAGGCTATTTTAGCAGCGGCCTATGGTAAAAGGATAGTCTAGTTAAGAATGGACCGGTACAGCCAGGCATGCCAGGACCAGCTGGCCATAACGCGGTTGTTTTGTTCTTCTCTATGAATAGGTACATGTCTGTTGGGGGTGCAGGAAGAGTCTGCCAGCACATTCCCAAGCCCAGTTCCTGCTTTTGTACAACGAATTACATGGAAACAGCAAAGACAGAGCAGGAAGATTGACTCAGTGACACAGAGAGGACAGGAACAGAGAGTGAAACAGAGAAGGGATGAAAATACAATCAAAAAGAAAAAGGGAGAGCCAGATGAAGCAGAACTCCCCAAGAGGGAGTAGAGCAGGGTTTTGTATTTGATGTCACAGGTGTGTTCAGTGTCCTGTAACATATGTAATATAATTATGTCCTTAGTTCCTGACTGAGTTATTAGAAGAGCAGCCAATACTATGCTACAAGTACAAGTACAAAGTTAACAACATACAGTATTGGAGATGCACTGTCTTCATAAAGCTTGTCTTGATATGATAGCTGGCTGATTGCCGGTGCATTTTGAAGATTCTCAGAATCAGCTATTGCATTATCAGATTACCAAAGCACACATTAAAAAGGTGTTAAACAAGTAGTGACATGACAGAGTATATGAAATACCCATCAAGGGGTGGAGATCCTTCAAAATGTTCTTCAAGGACAGTTAACTGATAGTTAATGAACGGCATCTCATCAGATCTGTATCACTTATCACTCTCCATGGATCTAACCTTCAATGCACCTACACTACTGTGTCAAAAGGTCCTTTTGTTCACCAACCCCCCCCCCCCCCCCCCCCCCCCTCCCCACCAATTACACCTCCCCCAGCCCACATAGTCCCTGTGCACATTCACTAAGTCATCCACACCAGCCTGTCTTCTGCACCACAAACTGCTTTTCTGAATATGGTAAAAACATAGGAAGTGCTGCAAGGTAACATTTGTAGAGTTAGACAAAGAGATGACGCATGATGCTGCAACTAATGATTATTTTCACTATTGATCATTATATCTTTTTTTTCCAGTTGATTGATTCATTGTTTACTTTAAGTAACAAATCCCCAGCCAGGGTGACATTGCCATATTGCTTGTTTGGCCGGACTAACAACAGTCCAAAACCCAAAAGTGTTACATAAAGCAGCAACTCAGCACATTTGAGAAAGTTAAAACAGCATGTTTGCTTGTAAAATGACGAAGATCATAAATAGGATTAATGGAGTTTTAAAACGTTTTTAAATTGTCAGTCAATTGCCAAACCAATAAATCCACTAATCGTTTAAAATAAATTCAATTCAATTTAATTTATATTGTATAGCCAAAGAAACAAATCACAAATTTGCCTCAGAGAGCTTTACAATCTTCACACATACGACAACTTCTGTCCCGGGACCTTCACCCTCATCGGTACAGAAACAATTCCCCCCCCAAAAAACCCTTTAACAGTGAGAAAAAGTTCTAAACAAACAAACATAATAAAATCTCAGGTAGTTACAAGACATTTAGAGACGCAGATTCAAGTGTGTGTTAAGTGCAGAAATGCACCGTGTGTGTCTCATTTTGTTTACATCTGTGCGTTTGTATGTGTGTGAGTGCCACCTTTGTCTGTGGACTCTTGATCACTCTATTCTTGGCATGTTCACAGCTAGTTGGAAAGTGCTCTTGTCCTTCATTCAGACTGCCCTTAAATGGCAAGGAGGGCAGAAGGATGGAGAGGAACAGGAAAATAGTCACACGCACACACACACACACACACACACGCACACACACACACACACACAGCAACAAAACCCAAGACCCAAAACACTGTCACCATTTTGTTTAACCCTTTTTCCAGGGGGATGTGGAAACAGTAACAGGGACTGAGTGGGTCTTGATGCAAAGCAGGCATAGTGGATCAGGTTTGGATATACTGGAGGGGGAAGGGGAAAGTGCTTAAAAAACACTACCAACACTGAGTCAGAGGGATTTACAAGGACCACTGCGTATACTCTACGCTGAATTGGCGTTAACAAAAATTCAGTGATCTTCATTAAAACAACCCCCCCCCACACACACACACGCAGAAGAGAACTGCTCAAACAAAACACTACATTTCATGTGTAGTAAAGACAAACAAACTGGCTCATTCAATGCCTCTTCCTTGCACAAGCTCAACAAGAGTCAGCTGGGCATTTATAAATGTCACTTGCTCTGGTCCAGACTCGTGACATTTATATTCGTTAACATTAACACGGAAAACCCAACTGATGATACAGGCACAGCGGTGCGGGGCAGAGTGCCATCCTGAGCTCTGCAAGCTCCACTCCTCTGGCCTGTCAAAGCCACAGCCTGGGGAGATGCCCGCTCCCTGATTTGTGTAGCTCATCTTATGCCAGAGAGGCATTTCATGAGACAGAGGAGGGCTTAAATATCAGTGAATTCTGTTTAAGCTCAGTTGAGACTTGATCAACTGCAGCAAAAACATCAAACTCCGCATGTCTCCAGAGCATGTTTGTTTCAGTCTTGTAATGGTTCAGTACGTGCTGACTCAAGATTTGTCTCAGATCAGTGAGGTGTGTGAGCTGCCTTGAGCAGCCTTGAGCAGCCTGCCCGCTCGGCTGCTGATGACAGTTCTCCAGGCCTACACAGGAGCACACTGAGCTGGCAGGAAAAGGCCTTCAACTGGCTGCTGGTGTAAACAACCTACCATATGGTCCTGTGGGTGTTCCATCACGACTAATACCCTGCTGTAACATGCACAATGAAGAATTACTGTAGGAGTTTCTTCTGGGGATTTACAGTGTGTGAAGCATCACGAAGTGCCTCGTGCAGTTCAGCAAATTGGTGAACACGGGGGTATTTGAGGAAAACAAAATGGGTATTCAAAACCAAGACTGAGCTCGACTCAGGAGAAAGCCCGCAGGGCAGCAACCGAACCGAGTTGAGAAAGATCACGGGAAAACACAAACGTTTGCTGGCATTGTAAGTTTGAAAGAATATATATATATATATATATATATATATATATATTTAAGTGGCTAATTAAAACTAGTAAGTAATTAATTATAGGTTTCTGACATGCAACACTCCCCCATTTTTTATTTTCTTTAAATCTTATTGAAATTGTATTATATTCTGCTCTGTTATCTTATTGTATTGTATATATTGAGCATCTTTCATATTTGTATGTTTACTCTGTAACTTTGCTTGCTGCTGCTACAAACAAATTTCCCCCTGGGGATGAATAAAGTATACATCTATCTATCCATCTATCCATCTATCTATGCTGATGTTAATTAAAGACAATGGGATACTTCTTGCAGACGAAAGCGACAGCAGTCTGTTTTAGTACTTAAACCTCCTTGCCTATTGCCAATCAAACTTTAATTCAAATTGCACTCCATGTAGCGCAACGTGCAATTACTAGAAATTTTTTACTTTGCTGTAATTGGTAACAGATCGGTTGTGAAATATATCTCTGTGTGCCGCCAAAGACAGATGCTGGTTTATTGTGGAGGCACTGGTGGTAAATCGTTTGGAACTAACAGGAGAAATCTATTTCCTTGCTTTCAATTTCTCCAGATTGTCATCAAGTGCTACAGCCCGGTATAATCCCTGAGCCTACAACAAACTGGGGAGGCAACAGTAGAACATAAATGTAAGACAATGTGACAAGATGGGACCTCTGTGGTTAAAAGTTAAGGGTCTTGCAGTGTGATCCAGATAAAGAAGCTCATTATCTTCATCAGTACGCCAGCGTGGAGTTCATACAATACCCTCTCCTAAACATTATGGAGTAGGGCAAAGACTGTTGCATGAGACAGGCCTTGTTCCTGTGGAGTGGAAACTGATAACAACCAGGCTATGCATTCCTGGGCTGTGAGAATGCAACGGGCCATAACTAAGAGACAAGAAAGCTATGGGTCCGTCCGCTCTGTGGTCTTGATGGCTATGACACTTCAACACACTGCATTCAAACTAAAGTGTGTTTAAACTGGATGAGTATTAAAAGCTTGAGTTTGTAACATTCTGTACAATTGAAATTCTTAAGTTTACATATCTGAAAAACAAAATAGGATGTTGTAACCCCACTACCTAAAGCACCAAACCCAAAATATACACAAAGACGGAGGCATTGCTCAGCACTTCCTCATAATTTTAGTGCTAACTCCAAATTTTCCCTCTATCCGAAGGTCCGGGTGTTTTGGATTAAACCCACATCCAATCACACTGCAAGCAACACCCACAGCTCCTGAGAGCTCTCCAGTGGCTCCTGCCCGAGAGCAAGCCTGCTTCATTCTCTCTGTGCCTGGCTGATATTAAACTATTAGGCGCTGGAGCAGCCTCCCCCATTCGGGAGGTCAGTGCTGGCAGAATCATGAACATCTGGAAGGCATGTTCAGCCAGCAATAATGCTGCCTTTGTTCCCTTGCCATATTCCCTGCTCGCTAGCCAGCTTTGAAGAGCCAGCAGGGCAGGCAGCAGGCTCCTTCATCGGGGCAACAAGGGGCCTCTAGCCAAGGTTTACATGTTACAGTGGTGTGCAAAACATCACCTGGTGCTGAATCACACTCTTGCGTGTCAGCATTTTTAGAACTGATATGGTTTTACAGCAGCAGCTGAAACTTTGTAGTAGTTCTTTGCAGCCTTCATGGTCTTCATGGTGCGGTGACATTTCCAAATGCAACAAGGAACACTGAATTACATGAGTCTATTTTTAGACTAAAGCTATCCTCTTACATCAAAAGTGTCAGACATAAAACCTTGACTGAGTGCAACAACTCCACAGGTTTGTTCTGCTACATATAGCAGAACAAACGTTTGTAAGCGGTGCATAGCACTGGAACTTTACGCAGAGAAAGTGATTTCAAACTAGATTCTGTTGTGATTACTGATGTGTAAAAGATTTTTGAAAGCAGGAGAGCTCGTAATATGTACAGAAGATGTTGAACCTGATGAGAGACAATGCTGTGTGAAGGGCAAAGCAACAACAATTTTAAGTGGATGTTTTACATCCAAACATGATAAGAGAACAGGCCTACTACAAGGTGATACAATCATCCGAGGACACCTAAAAATACATTTAACTGATTTTAAACCTCACACTAGCAGATAAAGACACCATTAACAGCAGTATTCGCTCGATATCTCGGCATTTAACAACCTGAAAGACATAAGACATTAGCATCTTTGAGCATTTAGTGACGATGCCCCTCCGTCTCATACTGTTGGTGTTGACTGGGATGAGGCTGGAGAAATGGCGAGAATGGGCAGTAGTGGGCTGAGAGAGTAGCAGAACTATTCTACTACAGAAATGTTTCCGTTATCTCAGCCTCACAAGTACACCGGGATCCGCCGCAGCACATTTAGCTATTATTAGGTCTGTGTAATGGTCTTACCTTTAAAGCGCAAATAGGATTCACCTCAGTGTTCCCTATCCGAAGTGAAGTTTAGGCAGAAAACACAGGTAAAAGGCGTCAATTCAGCAAAATGTGTCCTTCTTCACCATTGCCCAGTAAATCACTTCCAACGAACTGCGACAAAGTATCGCTTGGCTGCAAGAAACAAATAACTGAATAAAAGGCTACAGACGCTTTCAAACACAGATAATTGACGCTATGGTCCTCTAACCGAAAGTTTGTGTCTGTCCTCTCTGTGCGTTAGTCTTTTGCGGTCTCACCAATAAGCTGCGGAAAATAACCCTCCACTCGTTTCATTACTCCTGCTGGTAAATACATCGCATTGGAACTGGGACACCGCAAGGCATTGTGGACTGTTTAAAGCTGCAATACACTCTGAAGGGGCGAGGGATTGTGGTGTGTGTGTGCGTGTGTGTGTGTGGGGGGGGGGATCCCATTATCAAAAGTCTCATATATAATGAAATTTCGATTTGAATACAAATGTGTAGATTAGCTGCTTGAGTGCTTTCTCGATGTTCTCTGTCATGTTCTTTGTTAATGAACAAGAGGTGTTGAGAGTCCTGGAGGATGTAATACAGATGTAATAGATTTAGTGGAAGTGGTTCATAAGCTGCGTTCAGAGTAAATAAAGTTGTGCATTGCATTGTTTTAAAGGTACAGCAGAATTACAGCCTCTAAAACTATACCAATGCCATATCATACAATTGTAACACATACATTTGAAATTAAAATGAAGACAAATGCCCTGCAGTTGAAACGCAGTAGCATGTTTCAGATCATATACGGATACCATAAAGGCAAGGTAGGATAGGTTCCATGTGAAATGGAGAACACACAAACTGTCATGATGCATGTATTGGATAGTTATATGAAACCACCACATTTGGTAGCATGTTTCTTTGTTACACATCATGAAAGTAAGTAATGTAAAACACACAATATGTTGCTCACTCCATACTTCCAACATCAGACCCTACTTGACTAAACAGCGGACTTACACTGGTAAAAATAATTATATTTCCACTTTACCTGACATAAAAATACATGCATAAACTTTTCGTAAAAGATATAGATGAAGTTAAAACATACAGTACATTCAACTGGAGCAGCTGATGGATCTTGGACAATGGGACCATGCATCAGTGGAAACATACTGCCCTCTTGTGACCGAACATACTTTCCTGTTTTAAAAACATGTCAGCTGGACGTGTCTCTAAATATGATCTTTTATCATCCATGTGCTCGGTTTATGAGCGGTGTAATCAGCAGGTTTAGTGCTCTTTAGTCATCACGTCTGGGTAAGGACTATAGGCCTTGGTCAAGATTAAGGTTTTATTCAAATGAAGTCTCTTCTTACGGTTGAAATATATTCTTCAATTTACAGAAGGGCATTTTATGTAAGTGAAAAAAACACTTTTATAACTTCCATTTTAATCATTCTCGAAACTATGCCATTATAGAGCCTTTTCACGGCAGACATTTTACCAGCAGGAAATCACAGGCCTAACTAATGACGTTAGCGATGGCTATTCCTGTGAGTCACCATGCCGAGAATAAAATGGAGCCGTCATTATAGTTATCAGGTACATCTTTGATTTTACTGCTCTGAGATGTCAAAAAGTTTTGCTGTTGTAAGAAAAATAGTTTCTCATGTATATTCTATTATCTGTCAACGGACATGGTGTCAATTATTTACTCTGGCTTTTATAGTGATTTTATACAAATTCTATTCTTCTGTGCTTGATATATAAATTGACTGCTTGCATTAAAGTTGTGTTTATCTATTGTACCAACAGGTAAACCTAAAGAGAGAACATCCCATCAGGATACGAGTCCCAGATTATCTTCACACTAATTCCCTTTTGCAAACTATAACTGACAGTAAATTATATTTGTGATAGTAATGTGTATGTCCATAATGATAAAATAATGAAATAGAATGTTTATTACATGTAATATGATGTAGATAGGAATCGATTCTTGTTCATGTGTAACCTTTCTTTCATTTATGTACATTGTATTTCACATGCTGTTTAAATGTAGTCAGACAAATGCACAGTGCATCTATTTGAGATGTAGATAAAATAACTGGTACCCTCTCACAAAATAGGAATATCTGTATTCAATTATTATTATTAAATCTCTAAAACTATACAATAATAACTAATCTCTGCATACAATAAGTGTTCGTTATAGCCAGAATTGTAAGCCTCTCCAAATTTCAAAGTATAATATTGTTAATGAAAACAACTCTGAACCTAATTGTGATTTAAATTAGCCTTCACTTCTTTATAAAATCTCAAACATAGTTGTGGTTTCAGTAGAGGCTGTACAGCTTGGAGAACTGCTAGTCAAGTCAATAGTGACCTCTGGTGTCTCTGCCCTGTGATGTAAAATATGCGTAAAAACAGTGTATCGGCTTTTTTTTGTATATTGTGCTCTTTTATACAGCTTACATTTTCTGTATTGCTGCTACAGACTAATATATTTCACGGATAGTATCGAATATAAATCGTAGGATTTCGACGACTTTTGAAATAGGTATTCCCTCCAAAAGACCCTAGTAGTGAAATAACTACGTATCTACCAACTGGATAAAATGTTAATTAATGTATTCTTCATGTATTCTGCCCTCAGCGGCCTTATTCTGGATGTTTTTTTGCTTTGGGCCTGTGTTTTGTTACTGAACGTGTATGTGTTGATTATGCGCATTGCGTGCGCAGGGGGCAGCCGCGTGAACACGTTGGAAAACTGACAAGGGATTGCCAAATCATTTCCTTGCCTGGGAATGACGTCCCTCCAGCACAATTCAGTTATATTTAGAGCCTATATATAGTGGAGTCGCCCCCTAGGCTTTGTTGACTCTGCAGCAGGCAGCAGTAAGGGATCACGATACTGAGAGGAGACGTCCTGAAACGGACACCATATGACCTCTATAGTTACGATATTGTTTGTGATCTTTAAAGCATAAATGTGAATCACTCTGTCTGGCTTCCGATGAGATTAAATTTAAAAAACGTAGTAACGTTTGCACATAGCCTGCACAACTATTACAATAATCAACAGAGGCAACCATGGTTCATATAAACCTACTGTTTTAAGTCAAACCTGCACAAAACAACAATAGTATATTTACACAGGACACAATAAAGAGTGCTGTTTCCCACATTGCGACACAAAGTTGGATGATATGACCCAAACCGGTTGAAATCTCCAGCTATGCTTTCTGGGTAAAGTGCGCCCCGGTATCCGCCCATATTCACTAAAGGAGGCCAACCTGAGCAGCAAGGCCGGACGCTGGATCAAATGGAAAGTTCAATCGATTAATTTGCCCACTTTTTCGCATGTTCCCGCTTGCTTCTGATACGAGGTAGACTGACTTAAATGCGGGCGTTTCGGTGTGAAGTAGGAAATGCAGAGATCGTGTGAAACGAGAGGATTATCAGCTTGACTTATTCGGTCGCTACTTCGGACGCGGAACTCCACTCGCTAAAAGGTAAAACAAATGGATACAATTAATGCATGCGTGTCGCTTTGAGGTTTGTTGCAACGTTGTATTCATTAATTTAGTACGTAGGTCAGTTTGTGTGCCATGTAAGCACTGAATAACATCATTATAGTGGGAGTATTCATTTTCGTTGGTAGTGCAAACTACGCCCAATTGTTAACCTACCGTCTGGCCCTGCAATGCAGACCTTTGGGTTAGCCTGTCAATGGCGGCTTACAAAATCACCACTTTCCCCCCTTTGAATGAATGGTACCGAGTTTGTCCGGGCACACGGTTACAAGCAATGCTGCGTTAATGAATTACTCTTTGTATGTCACATGAGGCTAGCTAATAAAGGCTAACGCTAGTTAGCTTATAGTTTGAGGCTGTGGGCGAGCTCCAATGCTAAGCTAGCAGCCTGGTTATTTAAACACAGTGCTCCGAGGGTTTCTCACACAACCAACCTGGCAACCCTGGGGCACAGACCCGTGGATTTAAATCAAATTCCTTTCGACTTTTATTAAGTCCGCTGTGGGTGTTGTTGCCTGCTTGAACACAACGCAAGGGCTTTTCATTGAAAGGCCTGCTTTATCCTCGGTTAATTCACATAGGAGGTGAACTGTTGCATAGTAGCCTTCTGTAAATTAATTCAATGATTTAGTGGCACATTTCTCCGTTAACGTTAGTCCTCACCGTATCTTGTCTCGTGGAGTGGTGCTGTTTGAAACATGTGGTCGTCTTTTCGGGAATAAACTTGTTAATGTAGTAACGTTAAATATAAGGGTAGCGGTATATACAGTGCCATCCAGACGGTGTTTTAACAAGGCAAACAATAGCAGGGACAGTCATATTTACAGGGAATTATTTTTTTCCCATTTAAATCCTGCAGCATCATAACTTTACCAACAATGAGGGTGAGAAAACTGAGTTAACTTATTATTGGACTACACATGTACTACATTCAGTCATTCAAAGTCTTGCCCTGCCTGATAAGAGGATAAGTTATGATATTTTAACGGACATGGCAAGCATGTAGCAGACAACTTTTAAGTGTTGCTTGCTGAAATGGTCTGCGACATTGTCAGTTGTCTTATCTGTTTATGTAAAGATAAGATGGTTTCCTAATGGACAGAACAGCCTTGCTTTGCATGTGTAAATCACAGGCGGTGTTGGGTAGAATATCTGAAATACAGCGGAGCATTTTAGGTGTAGTAAAAGTGTAATTATATCAGCCAAATACCTATCAAACCACATTGTCGGTTTTGTTTTTCTAGAAAAGGCCAATGCTATTCAGCGGAGCTCCTCCCTGACTGCAGGCTGTGAGCAGTGTTGTAGCTTGTGAAAAGGCCAGCTGCCACTATTGACGGGTGCTGCTCCACAAAGCCGTCAGACAGCGGAGCTTTCTGACGGATTTCTGACGAATTTTGGAGCCTTAATGTCATTGGATTTGTGCCTGTGGTTAGTTTCTGTTGTGTGTGTGTGTGTGTGGCTGCTGCTCAGAAAACACCACAGTATGCATGTGTGGCTGGATCCAGACATTTGATTATGTATACTGTGTATTCATACTTTTTTATTTTACTTCAGTACCTGACGATTTGTGATGTGAAGCTTATTTTTGTGTCATTGAAATAGTTTAAAGATTTTTGCAGCATTTTGATTGTAATTTTGAGGCCAGATTTCCATAATTCTGTAGCAGTTCGTCAGTGTTTGTATTCCCTTATTTACACGTAGTCTCTTTAATGTTCTGTGTGTTGTGGTAGTTTCTTCTGCAAGCTTCTTGTTGAATTTTTTTAGATGGGTTTCTAATTAAAAGTCAAAATAAACACGATGGCATGAGATCTATTTTCCAGTGAATCAGCAGTGTTATTAAAAGAAAAGTGTTTTTCCACACAAGGCGGTATTTGTTGTTCTCTGGACGTTGTGTTGATGCATCAACGGTCTGCCAACCCTGAGGATGCAGACATCCCAGTGAGCTGGTAGCGTGTCAGACTGGAGTTAAGCAAATGGAGTTAATTGACAAAATATTTTCAACCTAATACTTGACTTTTAACCATCCACAGCAGAATATAACATCCTAGTGCAGAGAGGTTTACACATCCCAGAAGTTCCCTTCCATTAAGGCATTGAGGGTGCCCCAGATGAAATGATGCTGTGCCAGATGACTCTTTAGAAATATCTTGAGTATAATGTGATTCATGTGATTTATATATTTTTTGGTCCCACAGGTGAATCATGACAGAATATAAGCTGGTAGTGGTGGGAGCTGGTGGTGTTGGCAAGAGCGCACTGACTATTCAGCTCATCCAGAATCACTTTGTGGATGAATATGACCCCACCATTGAGGTAAAGAAACTGTGTGTGTGTGCATGCACGTGTATGTGTGAACGCATTTGCTCTCAAGTTCATTACTCTGTCTTATGGGTTTCTATGTTTTTTGTTATGGGGCAGAACAACGAGAAACTCCTTGCAGCAGGTTCTTCTGGTTTAAGTCTTTAAAAGGTTATTAAGAAACAGGTTTTTAATAACTTTCCATGCATGTCTGCTCTCTCACGGGGGGGCAACCTATGCTGAGTAAACACAGTCTCATTATGATGTCAATCCATTATTTATAGGCCGTTGCAGGTTAGAGCTCCAGTATAGATTATTTTAATACAATACTACTTCTGAAACAAAATCTACTCACTGGATCAGATGGTAATTGTTTGTGTTGGATCTGATTGAGTGTGAGGAGAAGCTGGAGTGCTTCGCCACAGTCGAAATTAAGTCTGGAGGTCTGCTGGAGAATGGAGTGACCTACTACAGCCAGAATAGAGTAGGCTTTAAATGCAGTTCTGTACCGTCTTTCAGCAAAATTAATTAATACAACCATGTCACGAAGAAGCAATGTAGACAATCCAGTTTGCTTGTATGTTATGTATAAATCTACATTACTTGTGTTTATTGGGATATTAATTGATATTCTAGTCGCTGTGCACTGTATCCAGCTAGATGTTTAAACCCACTCATCTATTGAGTTCTGTCATCCGCAACCCGTATCGTATTCTTTTTATTAAGCTGATATACGGACACTCGGCCCACTGAATCCCATAATTCTAATCTCTGTCTGACCTCCTCTTCCAGGACTCGTACAGAAAGCAGGTAGTGATCGATGGGGAGACCTGCCTGCTGGACATCCTGGACACTGCAGGTCAGGAGGAGTACAGCGCCATGAGGGATCAGTACATGAGGACAGGGGAGGGCTTCCTCTGTGTCTTTGCCATCAACAATACCAAGTCCTTTGAAGACATTCACCACTATAGGTGAGCTAAGAGACTAACGGTTTGGAGGCTTTGGACTCGGTGTGACGGCAGGGTTTTAATCGCAGTTAAACGGGAGAATATTTCATGGCATCCTTGTGATCTACGGGTGTACGGTGATAATTCTGTAATCACAATGTTAGTCTGGGAACCTCTAATGTACGTCTTTCCCCTTCTCTCTAACTCTTCATTTCCTCCCTACTACCCGTTGTCTAGAAACGGCCAAACTGCTCAGAAAATGATACACATTATTAAACGATAATGGACATATTCTGACTCTGATTATGAACTCGTTTTTTTTACATTATCATTGGAGTATTGCCTCAGTTGGAATTATAATCCAATGATATTTCTATTGTGTCTGTCAATGTCCAGAGAACAGATAAAGCGGGTGAAGGACTCTGAGGACGTCCCCATGGTGTTGGTGGGGAACAAGTGTGACCTCCCGTCCCGGACAGTGGACACCAAGCAGGCTCAGGACTTAGCACGCAGCTACGGCATTCCCTTTATCGAGACCTCGGCCAAAACCAGACAGGTGAGAGTCCAGCTCGAGACGGCCACGCCCTCAATAATCAAAGAGTTTAGCGTTTCAGTCACTAAACTGCTGGAGTATTCAACGACAGGTTTGTAGAGAGTGTTGAATGCATATGGTCTCAGGGATATTGGCTTGATGGACACAGCAGTCCTATAAATTTCACTCTGAAATCAAATGTTATTCTTCCAGAGAGATTTGGCGGACAAGTGTCCATCACAAGAAAAGTTAAAGTTTTGAGTCATGTGGTGCTGTTGATTTGTGTCACATCTAATGGTCTCTTTTTTTTTATAATGTTGTTTGGAAATGTCTCGGGAAATACCCTGCTCATCCTCAAATCCTCTTTGGTTGATTGTTTTTATTTATGGGTGATAATGTAACCATTGCATGCTACTTTGTCATGGATGTATGAAATGATATCCCCATTAGGGCCGTCTACAGAGGATCCTGCATTATAAATAATCAGCAAATGTGTGTTAAGCATGAAAGGACAAACTGTCGGTAATTTCACAGGGGTTAATGATTCTGCTTGCTGGTTACTGTGACTGGGTGTTCTTGGAAGATTTGCCACGGCTCATCAAATTGTGTGTGTGTGTGTGCGTGTGCGTGTGTTCGTGTGTGTTCGTGAGCTTGGCCGTAGGTGGCTGTCTGACTGACACGGTGCTCTGTAAACACATCCTTTCCTGATCTCTCTGACCTGGGGGTGAATCACGGCTCTTTCTGGTGCAGGGGAAATTAATGACGCAATGATTAATTTCTTACAGATCTGTAATACCAATAATTCACTATCCACACTGTGCTGCTGCTGTTGGACCAGGAAACATTTTCTTGCATTGAAAGCTGCCTATTGTTTGCCAGGTCTTAGGGATTTCATCTGACTTCTCTGGGAAATCTCCTACTTACAGTATAATGCACAATCAAAATATGCTCCTGATGCATGCGCCTCTTCTTTATATTTGGCAAGATGGTCAGTGATACTCCACCTTAATCTTTTCACTCACCCACTGGAGGTTTGAACTGTCTGTTTTAAAGATTACAGATTGATTTTTAGTTAAGTTTGAGTGGATTCCTATGATGAAACATTCTCAAACCACTCCTGCATCATAATACACCGCCACCTTTATGGTCCCAACGATTATCTTCTTGCCAAAATACAACTAAGTGCACTGCTTCTGTAAAAGCTTCAAAGAGGGCTATAACATGACTCCTTTCATTTTTAAGGACACTTTGATACCTTTTTTTCCCCCCTGCCACGAAAACCATTGGAGTTCTATAAACCCACTCTTCCTCGAGAAGAGAGGAAACAGAAGTTTTTTTTCATGCTTGAAAAGGAGTCTGTACACAGGAGGTGAGTGTTTGATATTCACAAGTTAAAGTTTGGGTGGAGTATCACTTAAAAAGACAGGCCAGACAATGCAGGGAGACCCACCTCAAAACACGTGTTCTGCTTCACTCCTTTTGTATCTGTAAGCTGTAACACATGCACCCATACAGTATGTCCTCCTGTATTCCTCAACATTGAGGGAAGTTGTGTCTCTAATGCTGCAGAGAGTGGAAGATGCCTTTTACACTCTGGTACGGGAGATCAGGCAGTACCGGCTCAATAAACTCAGCAAGGAAGAAAAGACTCCGCGCTGTGTCAAGCTTAAAAAGTGTGTTGTGATGTGAAAGGGGTAAGTGTATGCAGCCGCGCGCCCATCTGTGTGTGTGTGTGTGTGTGTGTGTGTGTGTGTGTGTGTGTGTTGGTGGGGATTGTGGAGAAGGCAATGGGAGAGGACACGCAAAGAGAGCTGTTGCTTTATGGTTCTCAAAGCCAACCTGCTGGTTTCTACTGGGGCTGTGGTGGAGCTCTAACGAGGCTGAAACAGCTGATGATTTCTCCCCTTTTCAGTGCCTGTGTCTCATCGCTGATAATTATCTCAGGCCGTTTTCATACTGGGTTTGGTTTACTTGAGTCTGAACGTCAGTTTGACTGCCCCACCCCACTCTTCTGAACCATGCCGGTCTGCCTTCACATGTTCTACTTTTGTGCTGATCCGGGGGTACGTTGCGTAATTCCTTCCTCATCAAGGTGCAGGCCTTTCCCTTATTCCCATAAGGAAATGAGCACGGTAAATCATTTAGATGTGTGCAAGCAGGCAGTTCCACGTGAGCATGATTGAAATAATACAACAGTCTGAAAATTTTAAATAAACAAAACACTACTACTCCACCAGTAAGAACTCTAACATGGCATCATAGGTTCTGCTCACACACCAGTGAGGTATTTTATGTCCTTATTGAAAACAATCCCCCTGAAACGTACAGGTGTTTCTGTGGGAAAACAATTGCTTTCCAACTGCACACAAGCCGTACTACAGTTGGCGTAGAGCCAATAAGACCGCCCCCTTGATGTCGACTTGGTCTGCACCTATGTTCAGAAAAGGGCAATTTCCAGGCGACTGTTCCCAGATTCTGGCTAAACTACCAGTGTGAAAGTGTCCCGAGCTGCTGAAATCAACATGAAGGAAGGTGTGTGGGCTAGGGAGCCAGCGCGTGTTATTAAAGGAGATTATGCAAATCATGTGCTGATGTTTCCAAGGAGGATGTAGTCCAAGAAACTGGCAGATATGTTTTGAACAAAAATTGTGTGTGTGTGTGTGTGTTTGTGGGTGAGGTTTTTTGTTTTGTTTTGCGGCCCAAGTCTTTCTTTCCTTTCCTGCTGTCTTTTTTTTTTTTTTTTTTTTTTTTTTTTTTCCACAACCTGAAGAGACCTCAGGCTCTTTACGCTGCAGCTCCTTGCAGAGTCATCATCACTTTAATTGCACTCGACAAACTGTTGTATTCACGCACTTGCCTCTGTGTGGCATTGACAGACACTAGCTGTATCTACATGGAGCCTTTTTATTCACTAATAATCAGAATAAGAGCTCAGCAGGAATTTAAAAGCCTCATTTTAACACCTCAGTCAGAATAAATTTGCTTGACTTAAATCCAAGCTGATCACCTGCGGAAGTCGTGCCACTCTTTTATTTGTTGCGTATGAGTGTTGCACCATCTTTTTATATTTATCAGTTTTGGGGAGATAAACAGAAGGCTCGCCTTCTATAACTCTATGCTAGTAGAATATTTTTATACTTCTATTTTTGCTTTGGCACAAACCCACAGCAGTAAACCAGTATTGGTGCCAACCGTTGGATGCAGGTTGATCTTTTTTTAGGTTTGCTTGTGTTGGCGAATGCAAACGGGACAACTTTAGCGGCCATTTAAACATGCTGTGGGAGTCGTACATTCGGATTGCTTACACTCGGCGGTACAGAAATTGGCTCATGTAACTGCAGCTACTGTCAGTGTTGTTGTCTGTGGGAAGACTGAAGTTCACTCTGGAACACATTGATGGTGTTTGGTCTGTGCTTCATTCAGCTGCGTCGCACACAGCCTGAACTGGATTGAGAAATGCACCTGCACTCTGATGTGTCATGCTGATGTACACTTTGACACTTCTGGTTTTCAATTGGGGGGGGGAAAGTAATTCAACTAAACGTTCATAGATATGAAAATGTTTGACAAATACTAAAGTTTCTTTTGCAGTGGAACAAGTCAAGGCTACACATCAGTTTGATATCAAAGATTGGAGTTTAATCTGTCCCAATAATGTTTCAAAAAGAGTGGAATCACCCTTTAAATTCAGCAAATTCAACATTGTTAATCTTTAAATGGTTTCCGATTGTATCATTTTTGTGTATTTCATATATATATATATTTTTTTTTTTTTTTTTACTTTGGCAATCATTGGTATTGTGGTGTGAAAATACTAACCTGACACTCAATAATATATTCTTTTTATTGTCTTTTTTTTTTCCAGGGCGTTGACGATGCCTTTTACACATTAGTGAGAGAAATCCGGAAGCATAAGGAGAAGATGAGCAAGGAGGGCAAAAAGAAGAAAAAGAAGTCCAAGACAAAGTGTACACTTATGTGAATAATCGCCCCCTTTTCAAGACAGACTAAAATAGAACTATGTTGAACAGTTAAAGTAATACATTTTGTACATTACACTAAATTATTAGCCTCTTTCTCAATACCCACCATACTGAATACTAAACCTGACCCGTTTCTGCCTTTCTTTTATTATTTGCTACTTGGACACCAATAAGCTTTATCTTCAGTTTAGTGCCAGTTGCCCACATGTGTTGGTCCAACATTTTGATTTTATAGGATGATTTGGATAATTTTTTATATACCTATAGAGCTGTAAGCTAATTGCATCAAGACTCATGTTTGACAAATTATTCATTACTAAGTTTTGTTTTTCCCCCTAACTTAAAAGGCCCATGACCTGTAGAGGTTCTGTAAAGCCCTCTTAAGTTTGGGATGCCAAAGAATGATTATTTTTTTATCCCGATTCTCGTCGACAAACCAGCTCTGAGGACCAACATTCAGCCAGATGAGCACCAAATGTCCCAGCCACTGTGTACTTGCCTCCTCTAGGTATGACTTAGTTATTTCACTGATTATAAGTATGCATGCAAACTCCTCTCCTAATATTTTAACACCCTAATTAGCTATTAATTCATTTGCAATTTGTCAATGCTTTGTACTGTGGGGAGTGATTTCTTGCCTTCATGAAATGTTTTCTTTTCTTTTTGCATGCAGTGTGTCCGAGATGACACGCGTATTGCAAACGTCCTCTGTTGAATGCATTTAATAGAGCCAGCAATGAGGAACTTTAACGTAAGTGGATATCATACGGTCTTGTTTTTTTTTTTTTTTTTTTATATTAAATAATCATTGCTTGCTTTTGTGAGTAAGAAATCAGCCATTTTAGCTCGATTAATGACAAATTCAAAGTTACAGATTTCTGGATGATAGAATGAGACCAACAGCCGGGTTTTGTGTTGGCCAGAGGCATCTTATGTTGCAGGGGTTCTTGCCTTGCGATGCCGATCGAGCGGCTTGAAGGACCTCACTGGCCAAATATTGCCTGCATTTCTTTACCCTGAGGCTCGACTGCAGGATTGTTTAATTTATCCTGACAATAATCACTTTATTGCTATTTGTTACAAAAACAGTTCAAGAGCTCTGTCAACATCGTCGCGATCCAGGTGTCGTGTTTGACCAGTGTGAGGACCATCTATCAGCTCTTTATTCAATGTTTGTTAGGTTTTCAGTTTGAGGATTCCTTATTCTCCAGTAGCTGGCCATAGAGGTGTCCTGCCTTGCACATTTTCCTAAGCTGTGGACTCGTTAGTTGTTTGGACTGGCTAGAAAGCAGAATGCATCTTTAAAGCAGCTTTCAGGAACATTTCTCCTGGTGTGGTGTCAGAGGTTTAAGATGTTGTCCAAATGGATTTTCAGATTCTTCCTTTTTGCCGAGCTTTATGAAAGAGTTTTTGGATTCATATATTTTTTTGGGAAGTGTTTAAATTGTTTGGTGGGCTGCCTTTCAACAGAAATGATTGTCCAGCAAAGTAATTTGTCATTTTCTCTCACAAAGCTTGTTTGTCACGGTGGTGTAACTGGAACTGATGTTTGTAAATGAGGCAATAATTGCCATCAAATTGGTTTTTAGAGAACATTGTCTGAATTTATATTAAAACAAGAGTCCTATTTTCTTTCCCAAGTCGACCTGTATTTCCGAGCTGTTCCCCTGCGGTTTTATTTGCCTTCCATGTTTGCATTAGGTGCTCCATTTAGACCGTAGAAAGACACCAGACAACATTTTGTGTGTGTGTGTGTGTGTGTGTGTGTGTGTGTGTGTGTGTGTGTGT